GCTGGGGAAGCTGGTGAGCTGGGCTTACCTGAATTGCTAAATTGGAAAGAACAAGAACTCGCCAATGACTGTTAAAAAATGGAGTTTGTTGATTTTTCCCGTTTAAACCTCAGGTTTCTTTAAGGGATTTGTGTATGGTCAGAGCTCAGGAAGTACACAATGAGAATGCATTTCAATTTGCTGAGATGGGCTGTGTTAAGAGTATAGATACTTTTTAAAAAAATATATACTGAATGGCAAAACATCTAAGTAGTTGAAATGAGTCTTAAGATGGCGTCAAGCTGGTAGCTGGTGTATTGTGGTGGGAATACAATAGTTATTGGTTATTTCGTTCGGATTTCCAATAGGGCATCTTCTCTCGGCAAACAGGAGGGCGAGAAGGCATTCAGTCCTTTGCGCTAATCTGTCTTGTTTGATTTCGGGCTGTAATTAGTGTTCAGCAACAAGCGCTGGTGTAGCTCTACACTGATGGGTCAGCTTGTGCTTCTGCTCCAGCTGCCCCCATCGGCAGCAATATAAAACCTTCACATTTATGAATGAGTTGCACGCACTATACTCCACCAGGTATTGGTGTGTGTGTGTGTGTGTAGGGGGTGGGAAAGGGACGTCAACGAACGCACGTAGATGAAGAATTGTCACACATACATATACACACACACATATATATTATATATATATATGGCTCATTAAAGAGGTTGCATTTACCCACTGGATTTGTACCGTGCTGCTACCGGAAGCTGTGGTTATTTCCACGCTCCACAATTTAGTAAACATTGCTCAGTGTAATTCCTTGTGCGTGTCCAAGCGGAAAAGGACAGCTTTCTTTAATGGAGCCGTTGCTCCTCTCTCTCTCTCCCTCTCCCTCTCTCCCTCTCTCCAGCGGCTCAGAGTTGGTGCTGCGCAGGTCTGCGTCCCACTTGCATTTTACCCCCATCCCCCCCCAACTTGGAAGTATTTTCCGGGTTGAAGACGCGTCGTTATAGGGTGGGCTCGGATACCTGACGCAAAGAGAGCAGCTCGTCCTGCTGTCCTATCGCCTACTCGGAGCCCCGCAATCCCCCCCTCCCCACCCCTAAAGCCAGCCCTGTGCACTGGGGACACGAAGGTAAGACCCGAGGTCCTGATGCACAGGCGATCGCACGGAAAGCTGCTCCAAAACGCCGGTCTTTCCGGACTGATTTCCTTCATATCACGTGAACCAGGCGAGAAGAGCAAAAAAGGGGAAGAGAAAAAAAAGCGTCATGAGTCAACCTTCTCGTTGCTTTTATTTGGGAGGGAGGAGAGAGAGGTGAGAGAGAGAGAGAGAGGGAATAAAGAGAAACAAAACAACGACACAGTGCTCTGCTTATCACAAATCAGCAGGTTTTGTTCCTGGGGTTATTATTATTATTATTATTACAAAAGGCTCGTTCTTATCTAATTAATAACTCTGATCAAGTATCCAACTATCCAGTGGTTGACCCTCCCCAGTTAACCCCACACATTGAGTTTTGTAAATTAATCCATTTCAATAGTCAGCAAAGTCATTTCCTGATCACTAATGTTGTCGTTTTAAGTATTATTTGATGTTCGATATGTGAAATCGTTTGCCTTTAATGTATTTTTCAGCGTTGCTCCAACAAATGGAAACACTTTGGGGATTTTTTTCTTTTCGAAATTCGTTTTGCCATACGCACCGCGAAAATAAAAACAAATTGGGGATTCCAAAATAATAATAATAATATAATAAAATATAGCGACTCCAAGGGATTTCAGAAATCCTGGTTTGTGTGATTAAGATGAGCAATAAAACATTGAGGAATTGCATTGTGTAAATATCAGGAAAATAATATCCATTCAGCTTGATGTATCATTAAAAAAAACATCCCCAGGTCCTGGAAACCCAATTAGAGATAATACCCAATTGTCACTCTAAATTTACACGCCACCTTTTCTTTCCCACAGGAGATTTTGCAAATGAGCTCTTTGGTTTCAATGCACAACGTATTTTTTTTTATCGCTCCATCAACACCCAATTTAAGCCGTCAAAATACAAGATTTTAAAGGCAACCCTTTGCTCCCCTTTGAATGAACTCCACATCTGCAACTGCAAAGAAAACCTACACAGCAGCTGATCAAACGCATCGGGGGGTTTGTCTGTACCCACAGATGAAGTTCGATTGAGGCAAATTGTGTGCGTTTGTGGCCACGAGTCCGAGGCCTCGTCAGTAGGGTTTGAGCAGTGCGATGCTCGGTTGCTGACCACCAATAATGTCAAAGGCACATTCAAACCTCTTAACATATGGGTCCCCCCCCCCTCTCGAACGTAAAGCGTACTTTTTTTTAAAAAAATGCAAGCTGCCAATGAGCACCATCACATATTATTAAATACTTGGCACGACTAAAACATTTCAAATAAAGACTTGGCAGAAAAATGCGTTGCCCCCTCCCCCCCCCCGAAATAAAGACATGTCCTACACGAGACGTTACTACAACCATTAACATTTCTAAACTGCCTTATCTTTTGTTGAAGGGACATATATAAATTCTCCCCTCCCCCTCCCCCCCATATAAAAGAACGACTTGGGCGATTATTTCTGAATGGGCTGAAGGTGGGAGCCGGGCTCCCGGTTGACCAAAGATTATACCTTTGCATAACTTGAAAGGCTGATAGTCTTCTCACAGGAAACGAAAGACTCGATAACATCTGACACCAGTGACCACTACTGACCCGATCTTAATTTTCCTAATACGAGAATAGCCCAAAACAGCCACTCCTACGTGCCGGAGCTGACGGATCAAATATTAAAGGGGAAATTGGGAAACCTCAGTTCTGTACATTGCAGATGCAGTTTTGCAACTGACTTTATCAATTTGTATTGAGGTTAATTTATGAGTTTAGGAAACATTGGGTAATCGGCAAAACTGGGAACTTTTCAACTTCTTACAGAGACGGTGTTCATTAAAGAAAGACTTTTAAGAATGTCAAGAATTTAGCACTTTATATCCCGCATTTGTTTTAGATTTGCATTAAAAACTCGGGACGTTTCATTTAGTTACATTAGTAATGAAGGAGCAAACGAAGAACCTTTCTATAGGGAGAGCCATAGATATTATTTGTGATACATTTTTAACGAGTTTTATTTATTAAAGCCTTCCGAGGGAAACAACGTCAGTTTTTCGGGCAAGACTCGTGTTTAGAATTGATGTTAAAAAAAACACCTATTCGTTGCACGCAGTTAGTACAAAATTGTCTCAAGAAGGTAATGGCAAAAAAATGTGCTATGCAATAGGTTTGAGATACCGATCGCTTTAAATTAATTCGACGGAGCGATAAAAAAAAACGTATTGGAAATGCTGAGAGAGAGAAAAATCCGAACCAATGAACGCAACCATCTTAGGTCAGTTTAGGGATCGGACCTGAACTCACGCTCTGTTGAAATAACCTATAGGAAATTTATGGTTGAAGACTTCAAAGGAATTTCAGGACTGAGAGCTTCTGCATTAGTTACTGGATTCCACCCCCAGTTTATTTTTTAGAAAAAACGCTCACACCACAAGCAATACTTAAACTCCACGCTGCAGGGACAAAAGCTCATATGTTGTGTGAAAGCATATATCATTTTTTTCGACATTCATTTAAGGCGATGATGTCGAATTGGTAAACAAGCCCTTTAAGTGCAAAATTCCCCTTACAATTGGTCAGACTAGTTGGCGCCGACACGTCAGGCCAGTTTTCTGAGCAAAACGCATGGCAATGGACAATACGTGTTAATCGATGTGAAATCGGTGGTTTCCACGAAAGATCCCATCGGTGACAAACTACTTTTTTGCTGACCTGCCTTTTCCTTCTTCGGAGAGAGCCCTTTTTCACATTTCTCTCGGAAATACCAAACGTAAAGGTATTCCAAAATAACAACAGAATCAATGAAGCAAACGCTTGACCTTTGAACCTTTTTGGAGGGGAATTTCCTTTTCACAAAGAATGGGGGAAAGTCGCATGTTGGAGAAGACTAATCATCTTTACTGATGATGTGCATTCAAAACCTGCCTTCTCCAGAGCCACAAATACTGTTATAAAGTCAAACGAGGCGAGCTGTTTAAAAAGGCAGCTGCTCCATGGAGCACAGCTAACCCCGAGCATCGTTTTATTAAACCCCAAGTACTGTCTGTTTAAAAGGAGATGGGTTAACGTAGAAATTTGAATTTCAGATAAGAGTGACCTCGCTCTGGGGAGGTCACCCGTCCGCGATTGTGGTGCAAGAAATAATTATAAAGTAATCAAATGGCTTTGTGGGGCTGTTGCTGTTTTCATGTAGGGCTACAGTGCCGCTAATGTGAAAAGGCACCACAAGACAGTATTCTGTGAGATCTATCTGATACGAGCATTTTATTATTTTGCTTCAAATCACCCTTTATTTTACCCATTTCCTCTGTTATTTCTTGCTTGCTCGAAACTTTTGTTTTGGAAAAAACGAGCAATTCCCCAGCCTTTCGGAAACACCCGCTGTAATGTTAACGGACAGTAACATTATTTGTGTGGAGTCTTGCGAATGAGTTTATCGATCAGGCGTTATGCCTTATCCTTACAGTCCTAAAAAGATTTTTTTTAAACCGTGACTTTTTATTTCAACACCGTGAGATTGGGGGGGGGGGGGGAGTTTTATTCCAAAGACACAAACGAGAAGGTGGGGTTAGGTGGTGATGATGATGATGGTGGTGGTGATGATGGTGGGGTGGGTGAGGTGGTGGGGGTGGTAGGGTGGGGGGGGGAGAGCAAACCTTGTGTGTTTAAACGTGCAGACGTGAAACATTTCTGCAACCCCCTTCCACCCCCCCCCCCAAAAAAAAATTGGGCAAATTAGCTGGGTACAAAATCTGGAAGGTTTCCCCCCCCCACCACCCCCCCCCCCCCCCCCCCCGCCCCCCTCCCCACCGCCCCCCGCCCCCCTCCCCGCCGAATCATCGATTATGTGCGGTGACAGGTTGGAGCAGAGTGGGATTGGCTCGGCGCTGCCTCTCCGAAGGCTGCGATGTGTAATTAGCGGCAAGAAAGCATGTAATTGACGGAGTCACGTGCGCCAGGGCCAGGAAAGGAGGAAAAAAAAAGGGGCTAAAGAGGAAAAGCACGTTAGACCATGCGAGCGCTGGCCAGCGCTAAAATTTTGATCGCCGAATCCTCTGAGGCCGGATTGATGCAGAAGGTTACCCAGTGCGAGGAAAAAGTTCTCATCGGGCCGGTCTGGACATAGGGCCTGTGTGGCAACATGGCCGAAGGTTACTTTTTTCTCTTGTTTTCTTGTAAAAATTTCCCTTTGCCTACTTTTTAACCCCCAGCAGATCGCACGGGGTGGGTGGGGGGGCTTTCCAACCCCCCCCTCCCACCTCCTCCACCCACACCACCCCCCACCCTCCTCCTCCCTCCCTCCCCAACCCCCTATTGTTGTGGATCTCCCAAAATGTACGTGCCCACCCGGTCCGCCCGCCCTCCCCTCCCCATTTTATTCACAAACTTCAAAAGCTTTTCGGGGGGCTATTGTGTGGAGCGTTTCTGGCCGCTTTTACGCACAGTTTTCTTTCGGGTGCGTGGAGGCAGCACAGTACACCTGCCCTCTTAAGTTTGACCGAAGTACAATCAGCGCACGCTGGATGCTACAGTAAATGTCTCCAGTGTAACCGGCTATTTCGGGTGGGGGTAGGGAGGGAGGGAGGGAGGGAAGGGAAGGGAAGGGGGTGAGGAGAGGGGAGAGGAAAGAGCTCTCGCAGTCGATGCTGCTGAACGTTGCTCGCGATTTGCGAGAGAGGTGGATATACAAAAAGCGAAGCCTGGCGGGTGGGTGCGGGTGGGTGGGTGGGTGCGGGTTGCGGGAGATGGGGTCGGGTGTGAACCAGCCCTGTTCCAGTTACACACCGGTTTGCCAACCTAACTTGCTGCCTCAAATATGGAGTAAAATCTGCCCGCATGCACATGGATCAAAATCGATATTACAATGGCTTTGCCATACAGCCTCAGCCAATACATACATCCGTGTGAATGCCAAGTGGTGCTTTTGCTTGTCTCTCCCCCAACCCCCAACCCCCCCAACCCCCCACTCCCTTAAATGTACTTTGCGATCTATTCATGATGCTTTTTTTTATTTCCACCCCCCCTCTTTACAATCAGATGAGTTGAAACATGTTTCTGTCCGTGTGTATGTGTGTGTGTGTGTGTAATTGTCCAGGAGGGGCGAGTAAAGGTGGTGGAGACGAGAGAGGAAAATTGGCAGAGAGAGAAGAGGAGTCTCAGATCCAACAGGGAGCAGGCCACTGCAAATGGTTCAACGTTAGAATGGGATTCGGATTTATATCTATGACCTCCCGAGAAGGCAGTCCCCTGGAAACGCCGGTGGATGTCTTCGTACACCAAGTAAGTTTCCGCCATTCCGTTGCTTCCATTCATAAAAAAAAAGGGTCTTATTTTTTTTCCGAGGGGGAGGCGAGCGAGGGGCTTGCCTCAAGGGAAAAATTGAGCACAGCTCATTTAAAACCGATTTGCAAGGACGATCGGTGCAAATGTTACCTAATGCTGAATGGGACTTCGTTAACGTGTGTGTGTGTGTGTGTGTGTAACAACTTTTAAGAACAAAAAGCAGGACATATCTGTACATGTAAAATTCACGTTTTGTATGTACAGAAATGCTAACACTTTTTGTTTATCAAAACCTAAGAGCCTTTGCTTTAATCCAGAGCTGCATGCGGTGGTTGGACATTTATTTCTCTATATAAGATTCTTTGTTATTATTATTATTGGCACCAAAATGCAATCGTTTGCCTACAGGTCTATACGTAACGCGTGAGGGTAAAAAATGAAAGTGGCGATTGGGATTCTCTGTCGACGTAAATATCAAAATAACAGTCTGGTGGTCAGGGTTGAAACCCGGAAATGCTGCAGAACCCGAATGTTGCGTGTATTGTATTGGGAAATATTGTTGGTGTGGTGTTTGGGGGAGGGGTGGGGGGGGGGGGGTAGAAGCAATGCATACAGTACATCCTAAAATAGACTCGCTTTTCTCAATGCTTTCCCGCTATGTGGTGTTCAGGCAGCGATCTTTTCCTACAATGGTTGGAGGTAAAACGCTGCAAATGTTTCCGATTGCGATTAGCCCGATGGTCAGTGGTGGAGTGAGTGAGTGGCGCTCGGTTTATTGAAGGAAACTTGTATCTGAGATGGTTGGCACCACCTTTGGATACAATGTTTACTGCGAGATGCAAGGTTACAGGGGCAATGCCACGGAGCACATCATTTATGCACTTGAAGAACTTTTACCCAACTCGTCTAATTGAGCGAAAATCTGATTATAACGTATGTCCGATTTTAGGGGGAGGAGTGTGAACTGTTTATTTGACTATTTGTCGCTGCGGTTCTGTTCTGCCTTAGCGGTGCGGTCCCTTCCTATTGCCTGACGTCTGCAAACGCAGGTCCTGCTCTGCTCACCCCATTTCTGAACCTCCTTCGAGTCGTTAAGTGGCAGTTAACGACCTCGTAAGATTGCTTTATAGATGAATGCAGCGACAAGACGGGGAGAAAAACCCACAAGTTTTCCAGGTTGCACAGTCCCCCTCCCCGACTAAAGCATTCAGAAATTCTTACTCGGTTGCCATCGGCGATCTAAGGTTGAAGCTCTGTATTGCAGCCCTCCCCTCCCCTCCCCTCTCCCCGCAATCTCTATCGAATCGTGTAACAGTTGTATTTTTACTCTTCACTGACCGGTTCCAACACAGCATGTGTTTTGTGTTTACTGAAATGATTGGACCCACGTCTGAATACAACGCTTTCGGTTTATAAGATAACAAATCGCCTTTTGAATGAGTGTTTTCCAAACCGATTTTTCATTGACAATTGTTCTTTTTTTTTGCAACAAAAATACGTTTATCGGGAAACGTATGCGATTCCCCTTTAATTCGCGTTTGCTTAGATACGGTGTCTTGAAACCCTTTTGTTTGCCCCACTCTTTGAGTTACATGAACGTATATTTAATTTTTATTTGATCGCCTCTGTTTGACAAAATAAAACACGTTTACATTGCCGAGTACCTTCTGCGACTGTTCTTGTCCACCTATGTCTTGATCAAATAGCGATCAGCTTTCAATATCAGATAGACATCATTTGCCGACAATGTTATTTTACTTGTGCTGAAACAAATGACACACAAAAAGGATTGAGAAATCTGCCCTTGTTATGCTTAAATCTGCTTTTAGAGTGGTGGTCAATGCACACCTTATCAGCCTTGTGATTGCACTGAAATAATCAGAGCAGGTTTTTATTGAGTTGGTATACGATGCTGCATGTTCTCCCAACATTTATTCTGTGTTCTAAAGTGATGAAAATAACAGTCCTATTTTGAAACAATATGCCACTAAAGATGATGCAGTTGTTTAATAAAATAAAAATATACTGGCATAAACCAACTTTATTGTAGAAAAGATGAATGAATGAATGATGCTCCACAACATCATAAAATAAGTGGATTTCAGATTATTTTGTAGAAATAAGTACTGTACTAAAACATGCTATCTTGTAGAGTAGTTAATTGATCTTACACCAAATACTGAAGTCAGATTTTAAATGTAGTGTCTTAAAATGACACACGTGAAAAGTAATATCTGTGTGAATAGCACAGTAAGATACATTGTAAATGCATGAAGGGTGTGGAAGAATTAAATGTTGAATTGAATGATGTACCCTACCAAACCATGCTTTCATTTGATTTGAATGATTATTCTCACATGTAGATAGCCAGACAGTGTTTCCTTATCACACAGTGTTGTTAATACCTATAACATTTTAGCATGCCTCTAGAATGCCAAAATCCAACATAAATTGATTCTCAATAATTCATATAAAAGCAATCGCCTTCTTCAATTAGGTTAATATTCAATGCAGTAATTGAATGCAAAACTTGCTTAGAAAATTCATGGTTTAGTTGCTGTGAAATTGTCTTCAAAGTAAATTAGTGAATTTCTTAAGTCATTGATGGCAGCAGTTTTTTAAAAACCGCAACAATTGCTTCCTGTTAAAGAAAGCTTTAAAACTAAAGTGGCAACTCACTAATAAGGTCAACAAACAGACTGAGGAATTTTAACCACATTAGTAGGTTGACCTCACAAGTGTGCTTGTACTAATGTACTGTACAATACATGTTGAAATGAAAAAGACTACAAAAATACCTGAGTTTTTCAGCAACTTGATTGCAATTTAGTGGGATAACTATAAGGTATATTTTTATTGTATTGGATGCAATATATAGTGCAGAATTAAAATTGTAAGCGAGTATGCTTCAGATGTGCAATCAATTCTATTAAATTGATTACATTTAGTTATATTAAAATATAAAAGAAATTAAGCTCAAGGAAACAAAAACCTCTTTTAATACTAGATCGTTTGTTTTGCTGCAAAATAAGCCATTTTTAAATCATTCTTTTCAAAATGTCTTTGAAGCATTCAGGCCATTTTAAGATCTGATTGCTTGGAACATATTTCCCATAGTTAATAAAATTAGTCTTCCTTGAGGGATGTCAGCCACATAATTATTGGGGGAAAAAAAAACCCAAACATAATGAGATGGTCATTATTAAATGATCCAACAATGACCTTTTAAATAAATGTTAGAACTGTATCCATACCCTTGTGCATTTTAAGCAAGAAAGTAAAGCTTCAAACTTCAAATATATCTGTCATTCTTGTTATTTAAACGTGTCATTCTTAAACTAGTAATGAAAACAATTGTAACAAAATTGATAAATAATATCTTAAAATCCTATAGAAAATGTCTACTTTTGGAAGGAATTTGCAAATTTTAGTAATGGCTCCTCAATAGTTATGTAATTCAGGAGGATACAAAATAACTTACTTGGATGAATATATCTGAAATATGTATATCAGTTCCTTTCAGCACTGGATTCCTCCCCCCCCCCAGCTTTAACTTGAAGACATCACTTGTAGAATTGTTAATCATTCAGGTTCAGTTACTCGGGTCCAATTTTTGGAATTGCTAAACAGGTTTTTTCCCGATACAATTCCCATTGACATGCAGGAACTCTGCTCTGGAAGTAGATCATGTTATATCGGTCAGTGTCCCTTAGGTCATGGTGATTTACCTTTGGTTGCTAGGAGACGTCTCTTTCCTGATTTGAAGTCGTAAGGAATACCGATAAGAAATGCCACCAATTAAACAGCATTGTTTAGAAATTGGGGCTATGTCATGACCAGGCATGATGAATATCTACACAAGTAAGGCTGACTAGATGATGTGACTGAGGATATCATAAGAAAGGTAGTGCTTCAGAGAGAATATATTACAACAATATGTCCAGGCCAGAAATGAATTTTAATATCTATAGTATATGATGGACAATTAATATTCATGAACATTTAATTTGTAGTTCTCCCAAATAGTTGGAAGGGAATTTCTGATGACAGACTTGAGGACTTGCATATTCACATACATATTGTAAATAGAAATTTATTTGGATTTGTTGCACTGCTAAATAAGTTCAGTAATTTCAACCCAGAGATACTGAGGGTTAGTAGAAGTAGAAACAATTTCACAAAATAGCAGAATATTATTTGGTGCCCCCAAATTTTCTGCTTTGGCATATAGCACATTATTTATGAACTTGTGGATTTGTTTGCATTTTTTTTCTTTAAAAAATGATTGTGCTGAAGAGAATAATTGGCACTAAATAATTGCTTGTAAGGTATTGGGATTCAGGGGCTCATGCCATTTTTAGTAAGTGAGTCAGTAGTTTCAACTACCCTGTGATCAATTCTATAACATTTGTAAATTGGGGAAACATTTACTGCTTTTGTTTTGAAAAAGACTCTGATTCCACATTCAAGCTTCATAAGGGATCAATGTATCTAGCAGCAAAAGCTTACGTACCACCTATTCAATAAAATTGAGAAATAATTAAGAGCAAGACATGGGAAGAAAACCTAAGAAAGTGAAATTGCAGAGCTCGAATGGAGTATAATTTGGCTGAATGTTTAAGTGTCAAAAAGTTAGTCATTTGACATCTGATGAACAAGTTTGAGCTCTCACTAGATGCATAACAGCTACCAGAATCTCCTGGTGTGCTTCCAGGTGGGAAACCCAGCTCAGCATGAAATGAATGAGCGCATTCCTACCATCTTGCTGCCACAGCTTGGACAGACATGCTTTCCCATCAAACAGTGGTTCAATGTGAAACAGTTGGGAGTTTGAGCAGCAACTAATTACCTCTTTGCAAACCATTCAAGGTAGATTCCAAATACTGGAGATCCGAACACATGTTCGTGAACCTGGATTTGGGTAACGCCTTCCAGCAGCTGTCACCCCAAGCCTTAGAGTTTCCTCATCGGCTATCTGATGGATATTTGCCTTCAGT